AACCCGACTCGCCATGGTACTTGTCTGTTCGACACTAGGAGTGTAATTTAAAAGCCGGGGGTGCGAAGGCAGAGTTGTTTTCCTTAATATAGTTTGCAATGCTGAATCTTCATTTCGACAAAATTATTATCATTGAAGGACTGTCGTGTCTAGCTGTTCCCACTATACACAACAACAAGACAATTTTATCGGTTCACTTCAGCCGCCTTGTCGTTTGCACGACAGAGTCTTTTGAAGCTGCGATTATCTGTCGTCACATTTTTATCGTGACGTTTTATTTACAGACAACTGTCGTTCTAGCTCAATTTTCTAGTTCTATCCATTGTCACGACATTCTGTCGTCGTAACGTCAAAAATCGTGTTGTATTATATGTGAACATCTTCATTTAAATATACAAGTCACGACTTTAAACTTACTGTCAAATAAGTAATACTCGACCAAATTAAAAACCGCATGATGCGAATGAGGCTTCATATTTGACAACGTCTTGGTTTGGTTGATGAGTACCAGAGTTACAAAATTTATTCTTTGAACACTACGCAGTGCATCCCTATCAGAACTAATTTAGACTGGTTTAATTACTAAATATATAAAAAATAAATAACTATCTGTCAAATTATTTGTAAAAAAAAGAAAATATTTTTTAAATTTCTTTAACATATAATATTTACTTCTTATCAATCGCAACTTTCTAAACTCATGAACGCTTTCACATTCCAAAATATGTCTACACATTTTTTTACAGGGTGTATTTAGGGCTACTTTTTATGAATCTTAAATTTCTTTACATGTCATTAAAACAAACTGCTTTTTAAAATTATTTTATACGACTACAAATGTACGAACAGCTGAATGTTTACATGAGAAATAAAAAAAAATAAAGTCACAATTTTTGAAAGCCATTTTGTAAAAACAATATTATTATATTATAGTCCGTCTTCATTTAATTCACAGGATCAAGATGGAGGTAAAGGAAGAGCCAGATCTCGAGGCTGATCCGCTGCGAGATTCCCCCCATAACACTGCTTACGATGTAAGTACTTTTTTTTTTTATTGAAAAATAGACACCCGCGTCAATCTAACCTGATAAAAACGACGATGTTACGCGTTTATCTAGAAAATGCTGATCCACGTAACATTTGCGAAAAAGCTTATACTGAGCCGTTCAAGCCAATTCCGCGGTGATAAGTCTGGTAGCCCCGTGTAATAATATTCAATAGTTTGACATTTATAGTTATTATTTTACTGGTATTAATGGCTGATTATTTCTTGTGCATCTCCAATGAGTGTTATAATTAAATTAATTTTTAGTAAAATTTTGCATGCCTAATTAAATTACGTAAAATATGCGTTCTATTATACCATTATGTACTCAATGTATTATCAAAAGTTTTAGGGGTCAAGGTAGTTTTTTACCTAAACATTTGATTACCCTATTAAAGTAAATTGGACGTAGTTAAGCAAAAAGGATCCAATCCACAAAATTATCAAAAAATGAGTTATATGTACCAAACGGTTCGTGAAGTCTATCATATTTTTGATATTATATTATTTGATACATATTTTTGAAACTGGCTCGATAGAACAACAATTCTTTTTCCTTGACATCATAGACAGAATTGAAAGAAATTTCAACACTATTCTTTAAAGTTATTTTCGACGCCGCAAAATTAATTACCGCACTATTTACCGTCAGGTAGTCCTGTCCTAAAATAAGGAGCTCATCACCAACATCTACAACAAGCAGCTTTGATAGTATTGATATTTGTTTCCCTGTATTACCAACGAAACTTTGGTGGACGCCTGCATTATTATCCGCGTTCCACCAACTGTATGCAAAGGAAAATTCGGCGTTTTTTCAATCTGCAAATGTAATTTATCTGCAAACAATTGTCAGATTATTGAAACAGAAGCACCAGTATCCACGAAGACCTCGCAATCTATATTATTTATACAAATGGTTATAAAGGGTGCCCTATCTATATCACAATTATCAACTACACACATTTTTTGTTTCAAGCACACCAGTTTTGCATTCCACGTCTGACCGTCTATCGGCGTGGCGGTGCGTTTGGGTGATCGCTTCTTGAATGAGCAGCTGCGCCTTGATAAAATCGACGCTGGGGGTAGCCTTTCGAAGCACCACTTCCTTGTGCTTGCGAATATACTTGGCGAGGTCTCAAGTTGTACCTTCCGTGTGGTGTATTTCGCTGCACGTCAAACAGAACGACGGCCGTGCCCGGAGTCTGTGTCGTTTGATAATCTGAATAAGCAGTGATGGATCCACCAACGGGAATCGTAGTCTAGAATTGCCAAGATCTTCCACTTTTTTCTATCTTATTTTTTAAATACATTCCAAACACAAACCTATATTCATTCAGCCAGTATTTCTATTCATAGAGTAGAGCCTAGACTAGAGTAGCATCATTTCATCTAAGCCTGAAATCCTGAGGGAGATAGAGAGTTTCTATCGACAGCTATACTCCACGGAAGTACCTGTTGAAAGCGAGGCTAAAAACCCCAGAGCCAAGCTTACCCGACATTTTACCTAAGATATACTGGACGTCAGCCTGTATAAGATTAGTGTGTCTCTCAAACAACTCAAGAACAACAAAGCGGCGGGCGATGATGGAATCACTACAGAACTTCTGAGAGCGGGAGCGCAAGCCGATACGTAAAGTCCACCAGAATCTTTTAAATTCTGTCATCGTCGAAGGTCAAACGCCGAACGCATGGGGCAAAAGCGAGGTCGGCCTGTTCTTCAAAAAGGGTGATAAAACAGTCTTCAAGAACTATCGGCCAATCTCGCTTCTGAGCCATATCTATAAGTTGTTTTCGAGAGTTATCTCGAATTGTCGCGCTCGCAGGTTTGACGACTTCCAACCTCCCGAATATCGAGGTGTTAAGGTACTTATACAAAAACGCCACTATATCAGTCCGATTACAGGATCAGAGCTCTAATCCTATCCAACTGCAACGAGGCGTGAGACAGGGAGATGTGATATCTCCGAAATTGTTCACTGCTGCGTTGGAGGATATTTTCAAGCTTCTGGATTGGACAGGACTTGGCATCAACACGTTCGATTTGCCGATGATATAGTTCTTATGGCTGAGAGACCTTGGGAGATCTTGGGAAACCTGAACACAATGCTCGAAGATCTCAGTAGTGTTTCCCCATTCTTTGGGTCTTAAGATGAACATGGACAAGGTGAAGATCATGTCGAATGCCCATGTTGTACCCGCTCCAGTTAAAATTGGGAGCACTACACTCGAAGTTGTTGACCATTACGTATACCTGGGACGAAGTTGTTGACCATTACGTATACCTGGGACAGACAGCCCAGTTAAGTAAGTCCAACTTTGAGAAAGAGATCTCTCGTCGAATCCAGCTCGGATGGACAACGTTCGGGAAACTACAAAAAATCTTCGCGTCCAAATTACCTCAATGTCTCAAGACGAAAGTCTTTGACCAATGTGTGTTGCCAGTGATCACATATGGATCAGAAACGTGGTCCCTTACTATGGACCTTATAATAAGGTTCAAGGTCACTCAGCGGGCAATGGAGAGAGCGATACTCGGTATTTCCCTATGTCATAGAATCAGAAATGAGGAAATCCGTAGGAGAACTAAGGTAACCGACATAGCTCGAAGAATTGTTCAGCTGAAGTGGCAGTGGGCGGGGCACATAGCTAGGAGAACCGATGACCGTTGGGGCGGAAATGTTCTTCAATGGCGACCGCGCACCGGACGACGTTCAGTGGGTAGGCCCCCCCACCAGATGGACCGACGATCTGATAAAGGTCGCAGGAGGCCGATGGATGCGGGCAGCGCAGGACCGATCGTCGTGGAGATCGTTGCGGGAGGCCTATGCCTAGCAGTGGGCGTCGTATGGCTGAATAATGATGATGAGAAACACTTTTAAAATTTTTATTGAATTGATATTCAATTATTTGTTCGTGAAATTACTTCTTTCGTTTGTTACAATTATTAATGCAAAGATACATTTAGAAAATATTCCTTCGATCCGGCCGGATTCGAACCGACGCGACGTCTTCTAGCAAAGCGTGCCAGACGCTATGCCAACTAAGCCACGGAACGAACCAGCGAACCTCACGAATTTCTCTATGTTGTTGTCGTATTTAGTTTTTCAACGACTTTTTAGCCGTAGCGCCATCTATTAGAAATCTCTGAAAGTATTTCGTCACGCAGTTAGATACTTTTACAGCTACCAGTCCCGGCTAGAGATGTCGCTTTTCACTGTATTTTTTCATTTTTATTGAATTTGTCTGGCACGATTTGCTAGAAGATGTCGGTTCGAATCCAGCCGGATCGACACTTTGTCTGTGTTCGATCTTTGTATTATTAATTATAACACTTTTAAACTTCAAACTGCCACATCTCGAAAGTGACTGGATGTGCATTGGATCCTTTTTGTTTAACTACGTCCAATTTATTTAATTATTTATTCCGTTAATGATTTTTAAATTGTGAAATAAGCTAAAAAAATTTTGGTGTTAAAAAAAATTCAATTAATTGGCAAAAACGTGTTTGATATTTTGATGTGTTATATACACATCAAAAGTCCGTCTGTTTTCCATCTTTTTCGTTCACCTCATTTTAAGTATATAATAATAAAATTACATTTCATTTCAAATGAAGCATAATTATCTTGAAAAAGCGTTTTCTTCTAAATATACGTCAATATCTTCCCATTCCATATTTATCACCACAAATCTTGACGTATTGAATAAAACACAGCTTGTATATCTTTTGACGTATTATGCCAGATTCGCAAAATGCCACATTCACAAAATGCCACGTTCACAAAATGCCAGATTCGCGCAATGCCAAATGTCACTGCCAGGAATAGGCCTTCCTCCACCTGACGCACGAATTAATGTCCAGTAGTGGACGTCATTCGGCTGAAATAATGATGATAATGAAGCAGGGTTCCGGTGTTTTATTAATTTGTTAAAAACAAAATGTAGTTTTCTCTACTAAAGAACTCATTTTGAGAATCTGGCATTTTGCTAATCTGGCATTCTGCGAATCTGGCATTTTGCGAATCTGACATTCTGTTCGTTTGGCATTTTTCGTTTATGGCATAATGCGTTAAAACGCTTGTATATGCTCCAACAATCAAACGCTTTATCGACGCCTTCATCCATTGACGGCGAGGTAATTGAACGCCTTAATCCATTGAAAGCGAAGTATTTGAACGCGAGCCTAACGGTTACTAACGTTCGGGTAAATGTGTGGCAGATGGAGCTATCAAGCCATCTGGACATCAAGATTGAAGAGGAGTGGCTTGACGAAGCAAGGGAAGAACAGGAGTTAGCTCTCTCACACCACATGACAAGTTAGTGTAGATATTGTAATTACAGTTAGATTAACATTGATTAAAATTACAGACGATTGGAAGACAGCATACCACTAATTGAAGCTGAGATAGTTGAGGAAAGTACCTGGATGTTCGTTATTTAATTACGCTTAAACGGCTTAAGGAATTTAGGTAAAATTTGCAACTCCATAGTTTATAACTTGTATATATCAATAATGTAATAGCCAATATGGTACTTATTTATTAATACAAAGATCAAACACAAAGAAAAATTCCTCCCACCTGACTGAACTCGAACCTGTGACCACGCCAAACCAGTGCGATATTTTGCGAACTAAGCTCCTCGGTGAGTCACCAAATCTTTCTTTTTTGAGAGACTTATGTCACGGTGGTAAAACGTTTTGATATTCAATAAAATCAATATTACAATATCGCACTGCTATTACAATAGTGTTAAAACTCAAAATATGTGACATTCAAGATTATACCATTATTGAATGTAAAATATGATTCTCTACACGTCAATAAAACCGTCGTTAGAATATTGTAAAAAACAACTAAAAGATATCTACTTAACTCAAAATGATACACGCTTTATGTGAGCTAGATCTGGCCAAAATAGTCCTTATTCAAAAATATAAAATTACTTTTTCTCTTTTATTTTTATAAATATTTGGCAAGTAGGAAATTGTCTGCAATAAATTATAATCTATACAAATACATACATTTTAATTACCTTTCACGGGAAGCGAGTAATTCGTTTTTCTTTGATTCTGAGAAAATATACTTTTTGAGTTAATACACTATTGTATAAACCAGAGGTTCACAAGCCTTTTTTCTCACTTTCAAAATTTAGCTGGTACCGGTGGACCCCCTGCAACTACATTTCTACCATAATACAAATTCACATTATTTTTTGCCACGCCATTGTAGAGCCCCGTTGAGATTTCCGTGGACCCTGGGGGTCCACTTGGTCCACTTTGGGAACTAAGGGTATAAACGGTGCGTATGGTTTGTTAAAGCGAAAGAAGTAGCGGGCAGTAGTCGGTCAATTATAAAAACAAAATGATTTACACTGGTGCATTGCAGCTATAATCTTAAATTTCTAATAAATTCTCTTCGGACTCCTCTCAATGACAATTCACCCGAAACTTTGCTGTCAAAAGCGTCACTATTTCAGGTTTTTGTTTAGGGTAATAATTTTTGACGAAATCTGATTACCTACAGGGTGATTTGGAACTCATTAGCATCTTTTGAACCTATTAATCTACTCAGCTAAAGAAATATTTTAGAGTAATTCTATTTTTAAAAAGAAGGATGGCTTCTCTTTTAGAATTTTGCCAATGTCTAGTCAGTCATGGGAGTTACACTTTTATTTATTTTCCAATGTTTAAACATTTAACGCTGCTCTTTAGTCTATTCCAATTCTGAAACAATACAACACGACACAATATAGGTACCATCACCATTAATGATATAAATAAAATAAAAATAAATAGTGTTATAATTTAAGTTTGTTATACTAATAAAATCAGTAATTAATATTAGAGTAATTAAAATTATAGTCCTCACCAAATAAGAGGCCAATTTGACACTTGTCATCGTGACGCAAATAGGGATGTGGACTAATCATATCGGTAATGACATTATACGATTTTCACGAGAAATCTATTCAAAATTTTAAGAGTTTGTCATTCTTTAGATTATTTATCGGTTTATTGTTGTTCAGGGGGCCTAAACGCCAAATCGTGCAATACTGTTAAAAGCAGTTCATTTACAGAATTCCTTGCAATTCTGTAGCAATTCCTCTTATTTTCGTAAAATTGTCCCACATCCCGATGAATTGTATCCAATTGTTTTAATTTTGATTTTATAATATTCATAAATGATTTATTAAGAAAATTTAGTGTAAATGTTCATCGATAAAACAACTACATAAAAAGATTAAATTAAGTACCAAGAAACCAAGGATTTCATAAATTTTCAATTATTCGGCTGGCAATAAGTTACGTGTTGTCAATGTCAACAACAAACAATCTCAAATAATGTTCATAATTGTTTATAATATTTCAAAAAAAAATATTTTTTCCGAGAAATCGAAGTGACTCGGTGAAATTCGGCGATTAATTGCTCACAACACTATTGTTTAAAAAAATAGCTTGAGGACGTAATTGTTTTCAGGACGTTTCGGGGTTACTCAAAATTGCATTTTGTTTTGGATTTCGTGCGAAAACAGTACTTCAAATATGTTTTGTCATAATATATGTTTCAATAAATTTTATGTATTTTTTTTAAAATTCAATTATGCTAATTGTTTGTTTATTGTTTGGTTGGTCGCATTCAAACTTACATATTATCGCTTTCTTTAGCTGACAAATTTGGCCTCTTATTTGGTGACGACTTTAACAATAGTGTAAAAATTTAAAAAATACATTTTATCCAAATAAATAAAGTATCAAAACGGGTCGTGCACGCAAACGCAAAGAAGTCGCAAGTCTTTCGGCGGAACGTATTGAGGCACGTGTTGCGACAAAACAATAAAAATAGAATTGATATTATATGTAAAAAAAAATAATTTCTGGTTTGATAATAACTTATTGGCATTTAGTTTGAGGATTATGTCTGTCTTTTTTATACAAAAGAGCGCATTTTATCCCATCTCACAATATCTCTTGGGCCAAAGGGCCCAACTTACACCGTTCGTTTCATGTCCGAGTGGCACTGCAACTCATGGATAGGCCTAGGATAGTGTCGTTTACCATCAGGCGCACGACTTGTTCATCTCGTCATTAGGTATTATAAAAAAATATCTCTTAAGTAAACTAATCACTAATTGATGTATGTTTAAAAAAAATGTTTTACAAATTTAAAGATACTTTCCTTAAAATTGATATTATCACACTAATCAAAGATATTTTTATTTGCAGTCGAAACCACGGAAGATAAGACTCCCCAAAAACGACTCTCGCAAAATATCGACACAGTACCTGAAAAGAAACCACATTACAATATACAAAGTAATGCATCCAGCTGCAGTGTATCAGGGGTTCATATAGACAAGAATTTAAAATTAACTTTTACTCCAGTTCAATTGAACGAATCGTTAAATTCTGAGGTGCACACACATGAATCGGAAAGGCAAACAAACAAAGGTACGGTTTTTTAATACAAAGTGTTTGAGGTGGTCATCGTCGCCCATACCGATCGAGCTGTCTATGCGTGTTGTTGCCAGACTGTAAACTTAACTTACGAATACCGGTTTAATGAATTAACTTTTTCTCAGCTCATTAAGAAAGAAGATATCCATAATATTAACCTTAGAACTAAGTCCAAACTCATGACAGGGTTCCGGCACCCGCTTGAGGTGACGCGATAAGTGCCTACTGCTGAGTGTATCGCCGACAGTGCAGGTGCTCAGACAAGTGTTTTATTTACATTACAATCCTTGCACAATTTCAGCATTTGCCTCCGTGGCCGAACGGTTACCGTGCTGGACTGCCACACAAGAGGTCCCGGGTTCGAATCCCGTGCCGGGAGTAATATTTGTATGGCCTACATTTATTTCTCTCGTGAGTTTGGGTGTAATTTGTGGTTGTCTATGTGTGTGTCCATGGCACCCGCGGTACATGGTTTCCCTAGTGCATAACTGCACACGGCGGGCAACGTTATTTTCAGCACTCTGAGCGCGTGCATAGGTTTCTTTTTCCTTGTAGGGAGTTGCTGGTGTCATTAGTCAGATTTAGTAGGCTATTATAGCGTAGGTGGTAGCAGTAGAGCTCCTTGTGAAAGAGTTCATCCAGGGAAGTACTGCCACCTTACCTATTTCTGCCGCCAAGCAGTTACGTCAGCATTACTGTGCTCCGGTTTTGAAGGGTAAGGGTGCTGGTGAAATTACAGGCACATGGGTCTTGTCAACTTATGTCTCAGGGTGACGGGCGCAGTGGCAGTGCCCATCAGATTTTTGCGATTTAAAGCTCTGCTTGGCACTGCAAACTGTTACAGACAGGCGCGTAGCTTACCATCAGGCGCGCGACTTGTTCGTTCCGTCACTTGATATTATAAACAAAAAAAGGTATTTTCGATTTTGTATGAGAGTGATGTATTTGTTGCGTAGTAAGTATTAAGTTATCTGTGCTCATGGTACCACGATATTAGGGCTCTTTTCGATACACGATTATATTATGGGTAACTGTATAAGTTTTTATACAATAAGATTCCGGAGCATGTATTAAGATTATCATTTTCTAAGTTAAAAATTTATATATCAAAAATATTTTAATTGAAATATCCATACTACATAATTGAAGACTACGTGTTAGATAAAGATGTATGGAACGAGACATGGCTTCTCAGGGAAGTCAGCAGAGTGAGTGAGCAGTAGCTTAAAAAATATATTTTACCTATGGAATAAGTAAATGTTTTTTTACTTTGACGTTGACTTTGCTCAGATCTTCGGAAATTCCCCGTACAAAAGTTCTTTATAAAGAATGTTATTATTATGGATACAAAGATTGTTATCTCAACTTGGCTACCGCAATGCAACTGAGCTACGGATAGATGTCACAATTCTCTCTATGCACTTATTGCCAATGTTTGTATTAAATTTGGACGGCTTTTTGCCGCGGCGCCATCTGTGAAAGCTTATGAAAGTTCTTCACTCTTTGGCGGCTAGATGTCGCTCAACGGGAAGAAACTGGCAGTTATAGATATCAGTCGGTTACGTACTAATTAGTCATTTGAGTTTCTTTTAAATATGATTTTAAAAACTAAATGAATTCATTTTATTGAGACTTGTAATTATGACAATTGACGACGCTAAAGAAGTATTTTAACAATGATTTCGCCATTGTTGTTTTTTCATGACTAAACACCACATACAAAATAATAATGTGATAACCCTGCGTCCCGGAGGTGTAGACATTGACGTGCCGAACAGGCGAAATTATCGCCTATATGGTTACATATACTTGTGTCATAATTTGATATTACCGTTTATTAAGCTTTCATAGTTGTGCTTTCGAAAAAATATTGTTTTAATTTTCGGAATTTTGATTCTGAATCCATAATAGGTCATTGTGTTTCCAACAATTTATGCACGGACATGTTATTTTTCAGCTATCCTGCCTAGAGCCAACGAAAAAGGAAGTTCTGTGAAGAAGAAAAAGGACAAACTATAGTTTTATTAATATTTTCATTTGCACAAGGACCGTCCGAATTTTTATAATATTTACAGTACTATTTTGTATAGTTGGAGCTAATCTAGTTTTACGTAATTCCCATATAAAAAACATAACCAATTATGTAATATAATGCCCATTTACTCTCGCTTTGAGAAAGCCCAAGTTATAGCGTCCAAGGAACAAATCTACAGGCAGGTAATTCCACTCCAATTCCGTATACTACATATAACTATGGAAGCGTAAAGCCTCGTGCGAATTTTGGCTGTATCCACTACATGAGGGTGGAACCCAAGCCTACGTTCAGTCTCCCGATGACGGAAAGGGGATAGTGGAATGATTTCATGAAATTCCCTTGCTCTGGTCCTGCACTTCAACCCCTGTCTCGCCAACAACATCGCTGATCTCTAGTATTACATCTTTGTCCCCGGTTCCCAACACTCGAGGGCAGAAACCTCAAACTACGTGTCTCCACACTTTCTACTACACTCTCAACGTTTTCATATTACTTTTTATTTAGGAAAGTATTGTTTACTTTGTAATTCTTAATTTCGTAGTTCTTTATCTCTTCAAAACATCGTAACTCGACAGGGTTTACCTTAATCGTTTGGATATAAGGTTAATAATAATAATTGAAGTTACCTTTTACGTGGTTCAAAAACGTAGTTCAGACGCGCACACGCGCACACACATACCCGCACACACACACACACACACACACACACTCACGCACACACACCCACGCGCACACACACGCACACACACGCGCGCGCGCACACACACACACACACACACACACACACACACACACACACACACTCATAGCCCCGCACTAGGGAAACCCTGTACCGCGGGTGCCATGTACCACACACATAAACAACCACAATTACACCCAAACTCACGAGAGAAATAAATGTAGGCCATACAAGTATTTCTCCCGGCCCGGAACCTCGGGACCTCTGCGTGGCAGTCCAGCATGGTAACGTAACAGCACGGAGGCACTTGAGTAGCAGGCAGTAGCAGCATTACATTCACTTATTTAAAACTGTAGTGACTCTACAAAATAGTACTGTAACTGTATTTTTTTTGTAATATAATTATTTATATACAGGGTCAACACGTCATGACGCTTGCGATAAGGACGGTCCAAAGTGTAAAGCTTGACTATACAACAATTTATTGTAGTCTTCCGAGTTAGAGATGTATACTTTAACGTGAGGTGAGATCTATTTTACACGCAGAATCACAATAATTAAGAAATCTTAAACAGACATTGTAATGTAATTCAAAGTAGTGATGTACCTGAACATCCTACGGATTTTTTTCAAATAATTTATAAAAACTATTTAATAGATGAAGGAATACGGGTTATTTGGACCTGACATGTTCGTCGGGTATGGTTATGTAATCAGATATTAGCATCCAAAATAGCCAACATGTTCTCTAATTAATGTGAAATTTTGGTGAACAATTTATATCTTAACTGCAGCCCACATACTACTACTACCACTTATGACTGCTAACAGATTGACTGCATGTTTGAAGTTAATGCATGCATGAAGTCGTAATCAACTTCACGCAGTCAAGACCTCAGATGAATGCAGTTGATTACGACTTCAATCATTAACCGCCAACATGCAGTCAATCTGTTAGCAACCTGTAATATGTTTTAAATATCCTATATATTTAGATGAAACTGCTCTTGGTGTAATTAATTTGTATAATGAAGTGTGTTTTAGTTTCGTTTTTTAGTTTTAAGAAAATACAAAAAGACATTTTATAATAAATAGATTTTTTTACATTGGCTGTGTTTGATGTGCTAAGTATAAAGGTACCTACTTCTGTTACAAATACTGTTTATGTTTTGTGCTGGATTAAAAAAAAAAAAATTGCCGTGCATAACAAATTATTATTGTTTTGGCTCTTATAATAAAAGTAGGGTTCGATGTTCGATTCGATTATTATTCGATGTCATAGGCATTTATTTTCTTTCATAATTATTATGTTATATTACTTAGACAGTACACTAGATAATGCCACATGCGATTTAACAACTAACAATCACCTATTGAATATTAAATTCACTGAAACAGTAGTATTGAAAAAAATTAAACCACCGCCGTCCTGTAGGAGCCAGACCCGACAGCATCCCTCCACTCTTCATTAAACGTGCTTCCTGTCTATCTTTGCCACTAACAATCATCTTTAACTATTAATTGAACATTGGAATCTTTCTGAAGGAATGGAAAAAATCGAGTATAGTTCCAATATACAAAAAAAATCAATCTGATATAAAGATATTATCGTCCAGTATCAATTTTATCATGTTTTTCAAAACTTTTTGAGTCACTCGTATACCCATTCATTTATAATTTGGCCAATGACAACATTTCAGATTTTCAGCATGGATTTAGGACTGGTCACTCAGTCGAAAGTAACCTAGTATCATTTGTTTCATACGTCTCAAGAGGTTGATAAAGGCCTTCAGGTAGACACGTCAATACTAATTTTTCTAGTGCTTTCGAATAGTTGATCATGTCCGTTAACTAATGACAATCAGAGCTTTTGGTATTGATGGGTCCCTGTTATTATGGTTTAAGTCATACCTTTTAAATAGACCTGAATTGTGGCCGTAAATGGCTACGAAACATCGCTTTTTTTTTGCTAAATCGGGTGTGCCTCAGGGATCTCATCTTGGACCAACTCTTTTTGTAATGTCACGTCTGCCCTTGTCTAACAAGTTGCCACCGCTAAATAAAATCATCTTAGGTAGTGTCTAGTCTATTAACTTTTTTAAATTTTAATTAAATAAAATTAGCTTAATGGTAATATGCTTTTACTGTAATAACACAAAAAATATATATCAACAATTAAACCTTCTATTATGAAGTAGCATATCAAATAAGTGTACTAATTTGTATTATGAAATAATATTAGTAGTTTTGGTCATCCATAAGCGGCCACATTTTCTAAAATTAAAAACAATATGGCTGGCTGAAACATGAATGAACACCCTAATAAAAATAGACGCATTACTACTTTGCTTAGAGGATGGGAAAAAAAATACTTTGAAGCCTCTCACTCGGCTCTTTTTATTAACTTAGTGCGCAGTCCAGCATAATATAAGTCCGTGAACAAAACGGTTTACATTTATGCTGGTCCTAATTTGCGGTTTTTGAACACATCATAACGCACTTGACAATAGTATTATCTCAAAAACTCCGTTATTTTATATTTTATCTAGAGTTTGCGTCATATTAATAATTTATCTCCAAAATCTCGCTGTTTGTACGTCATTCGTATACGATTTAAATTCAAAGTGACGGGACAACACTGTCGCTTTGAAATTAAATAGGTAATATTAATATAACATCATGTAATTTTGAGATAATACAATGCTAGTTGTTATGTGCGATTTTCCTGTAACTAAAACGATTAAGGTGGCTGGTCTTGCTGCCCCGTCTCAAATTTTCACCCTGTATATAGATTTTCAAAAATATATTGATATCAACATCAACCCATTCATATGTCCCACTGATGGGCACAGGTCTCCTTTCAGACGAGGGTTTAGGCCATAGTTTAGGCCTTACGCTGGCCCAATGCGAGTTGGGGACTTCACACGTTTTCCGAGGATTGTAAACCTTCTTCAACGTGCAGGTTTCATCACGATGTTTTCCTTCACCGAAAAGCTTATGATAAATTTCAAATTAAATTTCGCACATAAATTCCGCGAAACTCAGATGTGCGAGCCCGGATTCATATTAATATATATAATTATATATATTAATATTATTATATATATTTCAATATTAATTAATTTATCATATTTTCATTTAGATAATTTCAAATCCCGTTTCCAAATTACATTCTATGATATTATACAAGTTTCCCTGTTTTAAAAACATGTCCGTCAAAACACTCTGTCGTGGCTAAAACGCTCACCGCGAAAAGTCAAGAGAAATAAGAAAAAAAAGGCTAGTGGATAGAAAAAGCGCGAGCGTAGACGGAGAAATCTATGCGCGAGGCCACCACCAGTGTGACCATTTGTGGCTGATTTGTGCCATTTGGGCAGATTATTAATTTACTCTGTGGCAGATCATGTTAACCAAAGAGTGATGTTAACTTTTAATAGTAAAAATGGCACATTTTATAGATTTAGTAGTTCCAATTCTTCATTATTTTTGAAGAACAAAATGAAAACTTATAGTTTTCTACGATAACGAACAAAATCTTTGATCGAACTTCGCATTCAATTGAAAACACGTGTGTGACACTTTCAAAGATTTACAATTCTTGGATCCCCAACATATTGTATACAATAAAATAGGATACAATGGAGGATACAATGAAATAGGATGACTTTCTTTGCTCACTCAGAAGGGTCGTAGATGCTTATTACTACTAGAAAAGGCCGATGAAAAAAATCTGCAGCAGTTATTATAAACCTATTTACGAACAAAGTAAAATATTTTTGTATGTTTGTTTTATTATAGAAAGAGTTGGTATTTTATATTTATGTATAATCTACTTTGTGTATTCTACTAGAAGTATAATTACATTACACTCAGTGTTGGGCGTTAATCAATTAAATTTCAATCAATAATTCAATCAGATTAAAAAATCAATTCAATTGAAATCAATTGCAATTAAATCAATTGCAACGCGTCGCAATTGATTTAATTGCAATTGATTTTAATTGCAATTGATTTCAATTGAATTGATTTTAATGCAATTAAAATCAATTCAATTATACGAATTAAAAAATACGAAATTATACGAATCTCGAACTAAAATACACTTATCGGCCCGTTTTAAGAAACCCCGAGTCAATCCAAACACGCCGCCTCAAATTGCCTATCCTCTTTGTGGCGGCCATATTTACAGAAACATAATGAAACTTCATGTTTAGGCTTATGGCTTTGCCAAAGCCTTAATAAATAAAAAAAAAAAATACAGAAAAACTTATTTTTATGTTTTCGGCTGAAGTACTTTGTTTCCATGGCCAGAAATAAATTAATAAAAAAAAGAGTCCTCACTTGTTTCTAATTTGTTCCTACTATATCTTTCTAATTTGTGGACCTCACAGGCTCACAGCGAAGCATATTCAAGGTACTCTTTGCAGCGAAATCTTTCTAAAGTTTCTCTTATGTGGCACAAACTTGTACTGTGCAATCAGCGAAGAGTATTATTGTTGGCTCACGTGTTGGAAACATAAACATATTACATCGATTTACAAGATGCAAATAAACAAAACAGGCACACCGACTAACGCTCTGCATTACACATTTTGAACTGAGCAGCTTTTAAGTTGGAGAGTTCTATTGTAATCTGAAAAATGTGTTGCCCGTGCGATTTGACATTTATGACAAATCGCACGGGCAACACATTTTTCAACGAATTATACAGATTACAAATAAATTATATTTTACAATATATAACACTGAATTGCCAATTAAATAAAGTAATTATTACATATAAATTAATAAATTCACATTCGTCAGTTTAGGTATTTTATATGTTTCCTTTTGTGTTTTCAGAGACATGACTCGTGTTCATAGTTGTCTCGTCGACGGTTGTTCGTCCACATCATTGACATCACACTTGTGCCGGTGGCCTCGCAGCGTTGAACTGGAACGAGTATGGATAGACCTCCTAAAGTCTCACAGCTCAAGATTAACATCTACGCTTACGCACCGGAACCGCATTCATAGGCATGCCTATGTGAGTTATTTTACACTGTAAAAGCTATCTCCGTGGTTTAACGATTTATTACCTGCATGCCCGCCTGTAGCAAATATTTTTGTAATGAGTTTAAAGTTATGTAAATACATAATTATGTGCTCAACTCTGTAGCACAAACTGTTTACAGGAAATTAAAATGTAAACAGATATAATGCACAACAGTATTTTCGTACATCATCATCAGCATCAACCGATAGCACGTCCCACTGCTGGGCACGGGACTGCACTAAAGAAAACTCAGGCCCAGTGCGGGTTGGGGACTTTTACACATGCGAGATAGTATTTTATCAAACAACCTATACTGGGCAACCTGCACTATAGACAATAGTATGGTCCTTGGAACTTGGACATGAATGATCACCAACCAAGGCTTTATGTCTACAACACCACAATAAATAAATTCATTTACTAAAGTTCACAATAATTATGTGATGCAATATATTAGTATAATAAAATAAACGATAAAGCGAAGTGTTGTTGCGGAGGAGTAGCAAGGCAATTAATTTATCATTGAATTTATTTGTTTTTATGTCAAATCCAAACTAATATTAAACATGTGAAAGTAACTTTATTCTGATGAATTTTGAAACCTTTAGAGATAGATAGGTAGGATCTAGGAGAATGTCCTATGTCCGTAGGCTAAATACTTTTGTCACAAAAATCAAGTCATAAAGAGGGTGAAATACAAATGAATTGAATGGAGAACTCCAATAAAACTATGAAGATTAGTATAGTGCAGTTGGCTACTTGAAGCATCTCATCATCTTATTCCACGCAGACGAAGTTACGGGCACCAGCTAAATAGTAAAGTCTAAAAATACACATTCAATATATGTACCTACTGTATGCTGTATGACAAGTAAGTACTTACCCATTTGTACTAGTTGTTGCATGATAATAGTCTTGGGGCCCTTTTGCAAGACTCCATATACACTATATATTCTCAGTGACTTTATGGAAAAAACATTAAGTTCTCAGATTTCTAGGCTTGTTCCTATAGAATCTTGTCTCATAAAACTTGAAGCCTTAGCGCCCAGTTACATCAGAAAAAAGTTTTCGCGCGGCCGCCGCGCGGCGACCGCCCAGTTACCACGCCTTCATGAACATTAATGGCAAATCTGAATTCTATTTATTGTGCAACAATATTTAAATTCGTCTCAATAAGAATACCGAGCGGCCGCCGCCCGGCCGCTGCGTAGATCAAATTCAAGCTAGGCTAGCCCGCGTGCCCGCGTGCCCGGAGCGCTCATTTAAATTAAAACGTAAAAGCTAAACAAATAGAGCGTATTTTGCCATGACAGTTAAACGCACGCGGTCGCTGCGCGGCGGCAACGCGGACTCCGCTCTTCGACCGCGCGGCGGCCGAGCGGGGTGAGAGCGATGTTTTGATGATGATTCGTGTCGAATAAATGCAGGTTACAGGTAAAAACATGCACAATCCAAAATTGAATTATACCAATAGACCCTTCCGGACACATAATTCGAGCCACCACGCATTTTCAGTATTAAGTGCCCTAAGCTTAAACAATGTTTGATTGATCAAAAACTATTATACAATTTCAAACTAGTATACTAAACGTCTTTTCCGTAAGTCCTTGTTGGGAAATCATAACACTATTTTTGTATTCTAGCCCTGTATGGCAAAAATGCGAGGTGGCTCGAATTATGTGTTCGGGAGTAGATATTCAATAATTGTAATTTGATATGTAAGTACCTACAAAAATGTTGTAAATTTCAGGTTTGCCATCTTCACTTTGAGGAGAAATTTATTAAGAATGATCATGCAAGAGTGCCACTGTCATGGCCCACATTATTTTCTGAAGAGGAAATTTCAAGTAGAAGACCCACTCGTCCTGTTACTGTCTGTAAGTATTCAATATTTCGGAATGTATGTGTAATATCGTCGCCTTACTTTCTCAAACTCGTATCTTAAAGCACAAAGGAACTGAAATGCAAAAAATGAATTACTTTAAATTGCTCTTCTGTAATATTTTCCAAATTCATGTTAGACACTTTTCATTGTCAAGTAGGATATGATTTATACACTCTCTTTCTTACATTTTAGTCCGACCAGTGGGAGACCATTCTTATGCTGTGGCACCATGGACCAATGTAGAATTGGTGCCACAGAAAAGAAAATGGGCCAAGAGTCACAGTAAGTATATTTATTTATACTATGTGGTCTGTGATTTATACATACAGTGGTGGTCACATAATTAAAGACACCCTTGATGTTGACTACATACAACAAATTAAATGATATTTAGAGACCCAAGATAGGTATCAATTCCATTTTAATAGTCATTTTACATACACTGACATCATATATTTTTTAAAATGAGAACAGTATCAAAGTTTAACTAAAAAGAGTTTACATAGTTCCTGTTTCAAATATCATTCAAACTTTTTCGATACATTAGCTGCTGGCCATCTAATTAAAGACAGTGCGTATTTCGTGTTCTAAACTTGAAATAAAAAATAAAAAAGAGCACTGATTTTTTCTAATATTGAGCGAATTTTCGTGATACGCAAAATCTCACTCAGTTTTAGCCGTGCTCTAAGTTTATTGTGAAATTTAAATTGAAATATTATGGGAAAAAGCAAAAGTTGCGATCCTTCCACAAGGAAGATAATTCTGATTTTTTATGAAAAAGGGTGGTCATATAGGAAAATTGCAGAACACTTGCGATGGTCGAAAGATATGGTAATGAACGCTATCTTAAGAAATTTAACACTACGGAAAATGTGCCTAGGAAACCTAGACCGCGAAAAACAACCCAGCGAGAAGACACAAGAATAGAATTGTTGGCTAAAAAAGACCCTTTCAAAGGATCAGAAGTCATTCGCTTGGAAGTATTTGGTGCAGAGGAATCTATAGGAGTGTCTGCAAGAACGGTGAGAAGGCGATTATGTGAGGCAAACTTGTTTGGAAGAATTTCTCGGAAGGTACCCCTTTTGAAGAAAGAAAACATCAAAACCAGATTGCTGTTTGCCAAAAAATATGCACATTGGACAGAGCGACAGTGGAAAAATGTGCTTTTTTCTGACGAAACTAAAATAAATATGGTTAACTCTGATGGAAAAGTTTACGTGAGGCGTCCTTCAAAAAAAGAAATGGATCCAAAATACACAAAAAAACTGTTAAACATGGAGGGGGTAATATCAAAGTTTGGGGATGTTTTTCTGGTCACGGTGTGGGACCTATTAAAAAAATAGAATGTAACATGGATAAATTTCAACATAAAAATATTTTAGAAAACACCATGTTACCTTATGCCGAGGATCATTTGCCGGTGATATGGACTTTTCAACATGATAATGATCCCAAACACACTTCAGCAGTGGTCAAAGAATTTCTTAGAAGCCAATCAGTAACAGTTTTGGATTGGCCACCGTATAGTCCTGACATTAACCCGATCGAAAACTTGTGGTCCCGTGTGAAGAAAATGGTTGCAAAAAAACGTACAAGTAACGTGCATCAACTATACACGGCATTTAAAGAGGCATGGGAACAGATTTCGATTGAAACTTGCAATAATTTGATTGCTTCTATGCCGAGGCGGTGTCGGGCCGTCATTGCTGCTAAAGGACATGCGACAAAATATTAACAACGTGCTTTTATTTTCTTATTATACATCTGAAACTAATTTTATACTCAAATTCGTTTTAACATTTTTAATATTTTTTTTGCAGTTACATGATTTGTGTGTCTTTAATTAGTTGGCCAAGCTTTTGTATTAGTTTATAACGGTGTAATTAAAGAAACTTAATAAAAATTTAAAATACGACATCTTCGTTCTCTTTATTTCATTTCAAACATTTCACGATACCCGTTAGAATAATTTAAATAATATTGCAAGCTCCTATTGCATTATAATAAAAAAATATAGGATAAGTAAACTTTGAAAAAATAATATTCTCTAAGTGTCTTTAATTATGTGTCCACCACTGTATATACAGGGTGTCCCAAAACTCAACGTCAAGCGGTCACTGGGCGAGAGGCCAGGTTATATCAGTTCTGGTAAAAAAAAAAAAAAAAATCCATGTCACTTAGTTAAGTGATAATAGGCATTTTTTTGAAAATGTTGAAAATCGATACCCTAGACCACATTTTTAGGTACTGTCATCACAAATTTTCAAATTTTGGAGTGATTTTTTTTAACGTCATCATAAATAACCATGCTATTTATTGCAGTCACAAATCAAACAATAAACGTTATGAGTTTAGTAAAAAAAAATAAGTTTCATTGAGTCGTAGCTTAAAAAAA